TACCCACATCTACGTTTTTTCAAGCCTATACTAATATTTATACCATTCCGTTAAAAGTAATTATTATTGGTTTTCGAATTACTATTTAAACCAATATGAGTGATGTTGAATGAGAACTGTTTTAAATAAAATGTTATTCTCAATTCCCACAGTTAACACTTTAATTATCCATTTCACATATATTAAAAAATGTTCAATAAAATTGTATATTAAAAATTATACACTGCGCTTTATAGAACAAATTTATTTCCAATAGCTCAATTTATTTTATTGCATTTAAGGGTAATATAGTATTTTTAGTCATACATGTAGATGTGGATGTATAAATGAATGATTTTTTGTTTATTCACAACTAAAACATTGATTTGTCAAATTTATCACACAAAAATCATCTTCTGCCTTTGTGATGTATTTATTGTCATAGCGCAGATACACGTGTTGAAATTGAAATCTTTAAAAAAGTATAACAAATTCAGAAAAATAACCTTGAAAATATTTAAAGCATAGTTTGACATTAAAAACAAGTGAAGACTTTCATTTGCCACACATTCCATTCACTTATAGGCTAAGACAATATTAAAATATAATATATTTAGGATTATGTCTAAGAAAAATGTAATGACTACATTATTATTGTCGAAAAGCAGCTGGGATGTCCCAAAAAATTATAATAATTTAAGATTTACAGTCAACATCTGACAGGTGATGCAGTCTGCGCATGCGTCTGTCAGTGATCGCACATAAAACTTAGCCTATAATTCACTTTGACAGATTATTATTTTTTAACTTTTAAATGCTGTCGTGTTTTGCCTTACTTTACTAAATCACGATACAAAAATAATTTACTTATTCAAACAATTATTTAGAAGTTTCATTATGTAAAAAATTCATATGTTTGGCATTGGATACGAATTATTTACTCAAGTCAATGGAGCGTTTTAGGTCTGAATATTTTTAATGTGCTCCAATTTGCATGAAATTTTGGAATTAGGTTCATCTTACTTTCAAGTTTAAAAGTAATAATAATTTAGACTCCTTTGCCACTTCCCGGGGGAATGACATCCCTTTTCAGTAGTGCAATTGTATCTCTTTCAAACTAACGTCGGATATCGATAAAAGAACTAATTAAAAGAGAAAAATGTTTTAATAATGTTTTTCAAAAAAGATTACTTTTCAAGTTACTGGCTACTGAAAATTGTTTTTTTTTTTAACGTTTTTCATCGTTTTTTGCAAATATTTCTAAAAATATACATTCAAACGAAAATCATGTAATGAACAAAATTAAATCAATCAAAATCCTAATAAATCGCTGTTCTATAAATTGTTCTAAGAATAATATTAGGCTAGATATGAAAATCGAGTTTGATAGTGCTCAAAATAAGCTTTAAAATGAGTACTTCTGCATGTAAAATGAGTGAGCTATCATGCAGATAAAAGACGCATATAATATTTTTTTCATTTAAAGCAAATCGTTTTTGAGTGCCATTTCCACCAAAATTAAAAATAATCGTATTCCCGCTAGCATCAATTTGGTTTAAGAAATCTTGACAGATTCTAGAAAATACCACAACTTTAGTGCAAACAATTTCCGAAAAGCTCATGATTTCATGAAAATCTATTTAAAAAAATAAAAGATACGTATAAATTTATTAAATTAAAATTAAATGAAATTTAAAGGTCTTTTTCTGACTATTCATCACTTTTTTTTTGTTACACAAATATTGACAGTGTCCAACCAGAGTGTCTTGAGTCCTTCAATCCTTTGCCATTTCAAAATAAGAGAAGTTACGGTAAAATTTATGATAGAGAAAGTTGTAGCTCATTTAATTACCTTTAAAATAGTGTATTACAAGTTCTGATAAAATCAGAATTAAAAGAGTTATAATCCAATTAATGCGGTGGGTGGTGACGGAGTGCAAATTGTTTTCACTTCTAAAGTTAAGATAAAGATTAGCCTATTTCCGACATACGCTTTTTTCCTGCAATAATTTTGTTGATCGTAGGTTGAATAGAGCACATGTGAACAGAAATTTGACAAATTAATTCACTTCAAATATGAACATAAATAATAATGTATATTGAATTATAGTGAGTAAATTACTAGAAGCAAGTTAAAATATGGTACGAAATTATAAAAATTATAGGCAACATTATTGAAGCAATTTTTTTGGGTAGAAAAATCCAAGGTGATATTCTACCATTGCCGCGAATGCTATATATTAATTCTTTCTGAATTAGTTATACCTTTTAAAAGACTGCAATTTTCAACAAGTGTGTCTTATGCAAGTGTTACCATAAATCACAAAGGCGGCCGATCATTTTTGTGTGATACATTTGGAAAATCAATGTTTTAGTCGTGAAAAAACAAAAAATCATTATTTATACATCCACATCTACAGGTATGATTGAAAAATTGTATAACCCTTGGCATTAAAATAAATTGAGCTATTGCAAATAAATTAGCAGTGTATAATTTTAATATACAATTTTATTGACCATATTTTAATATTTGTTAAAAGGATAAAAAGTGTTAACTGTGGGAATTGAGAATAATCATTTTATTTGAAACGGTTCTACATTTCTCATCACTCATATATTTGTGTAAATAGTAATTCGAAAAACAATAATTATTATTTTTAACTGAACGGTAAATATTAGTATAAGATATTGAAAAAACGTAGATGTGGGTACAGGACGACGGCTGATTTTTTAACACTTCAATGGCAAAGTGGCTATAAGTAAGTAGCTTAAAGTGTTAAAAAATCGTCAAAAAAACAGAAAAATATTTGAATTATTTTATTTCTAGATCTTATTCGCTTAATTTATCATTGAAAATATTTAATTAGAAAGAATGTGGTCAAGTTCAAAGTGCTGTCATATATGGACAGATTTGATACTACGGCGAGAGCAGCAAAGACTTTGAGGCGGCCGTACTCTCAAACTATCAATTTTACAAAAAAAAACGGTTTTCTGAAGAATTATAGGAAATTTTATCTAGTTTAATTCGTACATAGATACTTTTATTGTAGAATCAGCCAGAAAGGAGATATTTTAAAAAAGCTGTTGTTTGACGCCATTTTTCCAATATGGTGGTAACTTGCCGTTCAAATTTGAGGTGGTAAAGTTGATTTTCGTAAAGAGCACCTCGAAATCTATAAGATTACCAATTTTCAGAATTCCCGGAGTACTGTACCGGCAAAACGACCAAATGACTGGACTATGTAGCATGCGGCCATATTGCACGTCAGCTCATCGGGATGTGATGTTATGTAATTTAACTCCAAACATTCTATCTCTTTTCGACAGTAAATAGCAACACCTCCGTACATATGTTAACTACGACAGTGTTTATTTTATTGTCATGTTTATTTTGTTGTCATGGACGACCTTTGTTAATGCCTCCATTTTATTGGATATATATTGAATATTCAAGAACATCATATTGATCCAGTTTGACAATTTTTCTTTGCTTTTTCTCACAGATGGAATAAAAAACGGTCTACATAGACTCCTTTTCAATTCACTCTCCGCAATGCAGACCTTGAAAGAGGCATATGTTTCCGGATGTGTTGAAGCCATTTTCTCACATTCAATACTTTTTGAAGTTTTTTCATTTAAATAATTTTTTTTAAATTATTATTTTTTAAAGTTTCCGTCGACGTTTCCGGTGCCAGGCGAAACACATGCAGGTGGGCCTTCCTCACTACTCCCGCGAGTATAGTGCTCACATTTGTTCCTTCGATGGCTTTGTTTTTTCGCTTTTGGGGCTTCTTTTTCTGGACCAAAGTTCAATTTCCATCGTCATTTGCTTTGATTGATTGTTCAGCTTGAGTCGATTTAATAGGTAGTTCCGTGTTGACAACCACAAACCGCAAACTAATTTCTTCAAAGCGAATTGAAACCTTATTAGCATTGCCTCTGTTTTTATGGTAGAATTATGTTTAGATTTCTTGGATGCTGCTTTCTCAGTATTACTATCAATACTGGGTGCAGCTGACAAAACCTTTTTTCTTTTCATTTGGCTTTAATAATTGCAGCATCTTAATTTTTTCTTCAACCTGCTGAATTATGTATTCCTTGTCCTTTATTCGATAATTGTTTGATTTAAGTTGTTTATAGTATCTATATGTTTGTCACTTGGCACTTCACTGCTCACATCACAGCACTGTATCAAATTTCCATCAATGAATTTGAAACCTATTCTTGTTGCACAACTCACATAGTAAATTTTGCCACAGTTCTTACAAATAATCACACTTGCAGAAGGTTTTGTATCACAGCAGTTGTAGGATTTTTTGGAATCCAAATCCGGAATTGTGTCAGAGACAAAACGACACTTCAAAAAACACGTCCGCACGGTTCTTATATATATATATATTAGTGAATATATAACATAACCTAAAAATGACATTTTTGATAGTAGATTTTTCTCATAAAATAATATTTGCGTTGGACCTAATAAGAACCTAATTGTTTGCTAGTGCTTTTGACAAAGAATTAGTGATATGGATTCATATACCCATATAAACTAAAAAGATTAACACTTACCCTATTTGGCATAAGTATTAATAGTTGTCCTTTTCTCGCTACACCGGCCTCAACCTTGCCCATAACTACAGTACCCATGTCTTTATACTTGTCTACAACAGGCATTATAAATGGTCCATCCACTTTGCGATTAAAAGAAGGCATGTCATCAATAAATGGAATAAAAGCTACCCCTCTACAACAACAAAACATGTATAATGGTTTACACAGTATTTATTATTAGTATATTTACCTGTACCAAGGACAAACAGACTCTTCTATTTGTTCCTTCAATCCTTGTCCTGTTTGTCCTGAACATGGCATGAATGTTAAGTCTTTTGCAGGATTGAAACCCAATTTTTTTAAATATGGAAGGATTTTATCCTTGCATTCATTATACCTAATGAAAAATATATATATATATAAACATTAATGTACAGACAGACATCGAAATCAAAATCACAAAATAAATAGTAAGATAATTTTTGTAATATTCTTACTTTGTCAGATAATTAAATATATTATGTAAATAAAGATTGGTTATTTATTTAATATATTGTATAAGTATTTGTTTTGTTGATTATGTCAATGTCGACGAGTGTTATGTATAAGGTAAGGTTTAGGGTTGTTGTAAAGAATATTGAATAGTTGAAAATTGTAACAAGCACAACATGCTATGTAGTTACTGCGCAGTGATTTAGATAGAAAATCTAACTTTTCAAAATTCAAAAATATACAAAGTTTTAAAATTCAAAATTTTTAAAGCTCACTTATATACTTAAATAATTTTAACTTTGCAATTCTGTTAATATAATATTCAGAAATATAAGATAAGCTTCCCTAATGCATGTAAAAAAGTGAAGTAAGGCTCTTCATTCTAGGTGAAGAGCTTGATTAGGTATTGTATGTTTACTTTTCTTGTAAATATAACACGTCGTCGTCTAATTTATATTTTATACATAAAATGTGAATAATCAATGCTACAGTATTTATAACAATATATTTGAAAACATTTAAAATAATTGTTGTTTGATTGTTTTTATTCCTTGATTATGGCACGGAAGGTTCCAGCTTCCACAACTAGTTTCAAATTAATTTACAACTAGCTGTAAGTGGAATTCTGTTTTAAGGCAATTAGGGCATCGTGCCTTAAGGCAAATTGCTGGAACTTCCCGTACCAAAAATTATTATTTTTTTAAAAACTTTATTAACATTTTTGAAAAAAAATTACTTCGAAAAAATAAGATTTTTGAGAAACTATAAATTTGACAAAAAATTACTTTTTTTTGAAAAAAAAAAATTAAAAAAAAAATTTTTTTTTTAAATCTTTTTTTTGAAAAAAAAATGTTTTCTTTATTTTGACAAATGTTGGAAGATCTGAACTTTTTTTCAAAGCAATCGTACTGCTTTAACTGCATAGAAACAAAATATAAAGCGCGTAAGCGCCGCGTCGCTGTCTAACGGGTAAACATTGGTACGGAACCCATAGGAATGTAAACAAAATTTATACTTATTGTTAAAATCTCTATAAAATATCTGATAATTTGATGTGCATATGTCTAATGATCATTTTTGACCGCCAAATGGCTTTTTTTTTTTACTTTTATCATTAGATCTCCGAAACCGCTAGACCTGCCTTCATGAAAATTTGATCAATTCTTTATCTTGTCAATACAAGTAAAATGTTTTTTGAATTATTAAAATCGGACGCTCCGTTCTCTTAAAAACTGAGGTACCGTTTTTGGCACTTTTTGCCCCATATCTTCGGAACGGCTATACCTACCTCCGCCAAAAACTAATCAGCACGTCTCCTTATCAATACGGATCGAATGTTTTTTAAATTATTCAAATTTCTTCATCCGTGTTCCCGAAATCGTCGACGAAAATTTGTATCCGTACACACATACATACTACGCACACACACACACACACACACACACACACACACATACATCCATTTTTTCTAAGGTATGCCAAAATATTCAGAAACCTCTGAAACGTAAAGATATATAAAAATTTTCATTTTCGATTTTTTTGCGATTACTATAACTTACCCTACGGGAAGTTAATAATAGATGACCAAACACTTCTGCTTTACTAAAGCATATAAAACATTAGAACGCTGAATCAGTAGAATATTTCATATTAAGGCTATTGCAAAAACATCCCAATGTGAGTGAATAGTCGTCCTAATCAAATTTGATGAAACTCAATGAGGGGTTGCATTGATTAATTTAGCAAGATGGTTGGCTGAGCCGTTTCTTAAAATTAGCAGAAAAAAGTAAAAAAAATTGTGCGCGTTTTGGACAAAAACTCTGAACCAATTTTGAAAATTCCAAAATTTTTAATCTAATTAGTCAATTGTAGTTTTCATTTTTAGTTAGTGAAAGAAATTTTTTTTCGAAATAAACGATTTAAATTTTGTCTAATTAGTTATTGATTAAGTCGGTAGTATCCAACCATTTTTATTCAAATTCACTTTATATATATTCACGTTATATGTCTGGAGAACCAACAATTTTTGCCGAAGAGTATGTTTATTTTAACTTGTGTAATTTTTGTCTATTACAATTTGTGTAAATATTTGATTAGAAATAAATCTCATTTACTCATACATAAAATTCATTACTCATACATATCGGTTTCAACTGTACAGCGACGTCTATGAAATTACGGTTTTAAAGGAAGCGTCGCCTCTAAAAAAAACCATTACTATTGCAAACAAAACGAAGTGAAATGATTGAATTGGGCTAAAAAACATAATTGGACAATTGAACGATGGTCTATCTAAAGTCTTGTTCATGGACGAATCAAAATTTGGAATTTTCAACGAACGACGGCGAAACGACATCGTCGTTTGGTTGGCGAATGCATGATAAAATAATGTGTGATACCCACAGTCAAACATGGTGGAAGTTCAGTGTTAGTCTGGCGATGATTTGCTGGGGGCATTGTTGATGACATTGTGAAAATTGAAGGTATAATGGACGAAAAAGTCTACCACAACATCCTTCAACGGCACGCATTTCCGTGTGGGAAAAGAATTGTGGGTCGCGGATTCGTTTTCCAGCAAGATAATGATCCTAAGCACAATTCTAAATTCCTTCTCAGTCAAAGAAAAGCAGAAAGAAATCAAATATATTGAATGGCCTCCTCAGCGCCGGATGAGTTGCTGCTGGACGAGTTGGAAAGAGAAGTGAGAAAATTGCAACCAACTAATACGAAACAGCTTTGAACGTTCCTACTGAATCGCTGCTGTTATACGAGCAAAAGGCGGAGTTTTTCCATATCTGCACGTTTCAGATGTTTCTGAAGATTTTGGCATTGAAACAGCAGTCATATGCTACTTATGGAGATTACTGCTAATTAGTTTTTAGAAAAGGTCGGTCTAGCCAGAAAAAGAAAATTACGGATTCCAGAGAACAGGGCAACCGATTTGAATGATTAAATAAGCATTCAATTTGTAATAATGAGGACCAAAAAGTGTAAAAAATGAAAGTTTGTGAGAAAACAAAGCATCCGATTCGAATGATTTGAAAAACATTTTGCTGGTAAAGTAACAATTAGATTTTGGGAAAGAAAAATAATATTTTTTTTATTTCAAATATTCAAAAAAAAACTTTTGAATTTAAAAAATCATTTTATTTTTGAATATCAAAAATGACTCATTTTCAAATGAAAAATTTTAACTTTGCAATCCAGTTTATATAATTCTTAACTAGTGGGGCGCATGGCATCGTGCCTTAAGGCAAATTGCTGGAACTTCCTGCACCAAAAATTATTTTTTTAAAAAGATTAACATTTTTGATAAAAAAAGAGTTTTGAGAAACTATGAATTTTTGAAAAAAAAATTTTTTTTGGAAAAGACTTTTTGAAAAAAATGTTTTAATTATTTTTCAATATTTTGGAAGTTCTGAACTTTTTTTTAAAGCAATCGTACTGCTTTAACTGCATGAGATATTATACATAAAATCACTTGACAAGTATTACAGATTTTGCTTTTAATATTTTACAAAAATAGTTACGATTAAAATATGGATGATCTGCTCAATTTGTATGAGCTTCTCAATTCAATTCAATTCTTTTATAGATACTGTCTGTAAGTCAGATTTTCTATATTAAAATTGAAATGTTACTTATAGGAAGGTTGTAAGTTACATTGAAATCAATTAATTATGCATATTTTGCATACCTGTTCTCATCCCAATTGACTGTAGGATCATCCATTTTATTAACAAGTACAACAAGGTGTTTAACACCAGCAGTTTTAGCTAACATAGCATGTTCTCTTGTTTGCCCACCTCTATCAAAACCAGTCTCAAATTCTCCTTTACGAGCAGATATCACCTGATAAAATAATTATGTAAAGTCCAGAAAAAATATAGATCTTACAAAAACAATAGTAAAATACATACAAGAACAGCTAAGTCTGCTTGGGCTGCACCTCCTATCATATTGGGCACAAAGCTTTTGTGACCAGGAGCATCCAAAATAGTAAAGTGTTTTTTTTCTGTTTCAAAATATGCTCTCCCAACTTCCACAGTTTTTCCCTTGTCACGTTCTATAGTAACAATAAACTGATTAAACATGTTGAGTATAAAATGAATGAATATTTTCATTTAGATTGTGTGCTTACTGAATGTTTTCAGCTTTTAAAGTATGAAGCATATAGTTCGACTTGTATGCCATTCCCGACTTTTGCATAATTTAATTGGAATAATAATAAATAGAATATAACAAAAAATAACCCTCACAGAGTTTAAACCTACAATAATGAGCATGATGGTGTCAGTTACCCTTGAGCTATTCAGTTATAACAAAATCGTGTGAAATATTTCAAACTTATATTGATTTTTAAATTCAAACCTTTTTCAATAGCCGGCAATAATTAAGATTATTGCCGGTTTGTTTTGACTATCAACTACACCACCACATAAAGTTTTTTCATTATTTCAGATACGTAAACCTTTGTTAGCACAATGTAACCAATCCATTTTTTTTCAAAGTATTTCCCAGCATTAAACAAATGTTTTGTTTTTGCTATGGTCATGAATCATATGGTATTAGTTTTAAATTGATTTTAAAGTATTTAGTAATGTTTAACGATCTTGATAATTTGTATAAATAATTTAGGTGTAAGAGGCAAGTTGCAAGCAGTTTCCGACATCTGGAATATTCTAATCAATAAATTAAAATTAAGGTGCTATTAAAATTGTGACTATAAAAGTTTGAAAATTTCATGAACTATTCCTAACTTTAATGAATTTTTATATTATAATTAGTTTTCATAGGCGTATATTATTTCAAAAGAATTACTTACAAATAGACCATAAACTGTATCATAAAAAAATCTTTTACAAAAATCGCAAAAAAATCCCAACAACTAAAAATGAAGAAACGGCCTGAACGATTTCTACCAAACAATAACATGTTCACAAGATTCAAAAAAGTCGGCTGTATTGGGTGTAAGACATATGTTATTATTATTAAAGTCTAATCTCTCTGGCTTCCTGACCCTTTTTTACGTAAAAAACTGAAGAATTTTAATTAAATGATCTATCTTTATTAGTTAATTTAATTTATATTAAATGATCTATCTTAATATTAGTTTCTCTTTGTATAATTCAGCAGTTTTTTGCAAATATATTTTACTAAATTTTTCGGCTCATCGCCAATCCATATGAAAGCTTACAGAACCATTTACGCAAAGTCAAATTTCTACATATATATTACCTTCCTGATTTGTATCCAAGGCCCATGACAAATACCAGGACTCTCGAGATTTTTCTCGGGCTTCTCGCTCATATTTTTCTAATGTTCTCTTATCAACCATTCCTGTCAAAGACATAATTTGTCCACCAATGGTAGACTTTCCAGCATCTACAAATGGTTGAATTAAAATTGTTAGTTAACACATCAAAATTTGAATAATGATAGCTCCAATAATCCTTACCAACATGCCCAATAAAAACAACATTTATATGCTCTTTCTTGCTTTTTGTATCTTCTACTTTCAAAGTTTTTTTTTTTGGAATTTTAGCTATCTCATCTCCATCCTCACATTCCTGAAAAGAATATGCAAACACATACAATTGACACAAATACATATACATAAATATTTTTAAATACAGGTAACCCCCGCATAACACTGTAGATATGTTCCAAAGAATTAGTGTGTTATGCGAATCCGTGTTATATGGAACAAGAAACTAGTACAAAAAGAGGGGGTGTGTTCCAAGAATTAAAAAAAACACGCTACATGTCATGATTTTATAATAAGAATTGTCATATTTATCCTTTTTTTTTTAAGAAGTAATATATATTACTTTATGATTTTTTCGTCATAATTAACAAATAAGTGCTACCCAACATGATCCTTTATTTTTTGCAAGATATCTTCACCTCCTTAGCAGTTTTCTGTACTACCTCCAGTTCCATGCATTATTTTTTGCAAAAAAATATTTGCGATTACTTGCTTTTAGCGAAAAGCTTATTATATATTTACCACATACAAAATTATCTTTATTAAAATTATGTGCTTATTTTATTTAAAGGATCTTTGTTTAAGTCTAATTGATAAATTGTTCAGTTAACCCTAGAATTTTCTTTTATAGATTATAGATCTACTTATTTGATATTTATCGAATAATAAATATCAAATAAGTTATCTTTTGCATTAGTTTCATCACATTGATAGACCCAAGCAATAGCAATTAGGAGCGGTATTGATCTCAATTTTACTCAGATAAAACGGAGTGTATGTATGGTTAAATTGGCCTACATATCGTCAAAAAAAAAGGATCGATATTCAGTAAACTAGTCATACCATGGTCTGATAGATATTGCTTATTATATTATGCCGTAGAATTTACCTGTGATCTGTTTTGAAACCTGTTTAATAAACAATAATTTTTTGTCTTTATAGGATAACCCATCCTCTGCAGAGATGCCAGTATCAATTAGTGTTAGAACGAAATATCGAGTATTGAGTAAATATCGATACTTTGCGGTCGATAGTGAGTACTTTTGGTATCGATTTTTTAGCTCGATATATTTGCCAATATCGATCTTTTACGTCGATAGTACTCAAAAAGAATCGACAGCGTAATCTATGAACACCACTTATCGACCAACTATGAAAACCAACCATTTTGCCGAATGCAATGCAATAATCTCTCTAGGTGGTCATAATTGTTCAGAGAAGTGGCAAAAAATGATCCCGAAGGGTCATTAGTCTCAGAATTTATTGCTCAAAAACCCAAAATGGATATGACCACACTAATAAATAAAGATGTTTATTTATTACTCTTTTGTAAAATGAAACGCCTTTTTAAAGTACCAAAATGTTTTATAAAAACATATTCAACAATCGAAGTATGATTATTTCGAATAATAATATTCATCAATTTCAATATATTAGTATTTTGCGTAATAAAGAATCGAAATATAATTATTTCAAATAATAATATTCATCAATTTCAATATATTAGTATTTTGCGTAAAAAAGAATCGAAATATAATTATTTCAAATAATAATATTCATCAATTTTAATATATTAGTATTTTGCGTAAAAAAGAATTGAAATATAATTATTTCAAATAATAATATTCATCAATTTCAATATATTAGTATTTTGCGTAAAAAAGAATCGAAATATAATTATTTCAAATAATGTATTAATACTCATCGATTTCAATGCGTTATTATTTTTCTTTCTAAAAGTATGTGAATTGTAAGTTGAAGTAAAGTACTTGTAAATTAAAAATTAAATAAACAATTTAAAAAAGAACAGAAGAGCAATATTTTCTTTGTGGTACGTGAATCTTAAAATGTCTCGTTTTCAGTTTGTGCACATTATGAACATATTTTAGGAATCGGATTTCAACTGACCTTTTCTGAATGAATGACAATAAAACTTAAGAATACTTTCTTTAGTATTTAGTGGGCAAAAAACTTTTAGAAAATAATAAATTAATTTGGTTCTTGTGGCAATTGTTTGCACTGAAAAATATTAAAAATATGATTGTGCTTAAAAATACTTAAAAAGTATTGCTTTTTGAATATAGTATCAGACTATTATATTGTTTTAATCAAGAATAATCAACTATTATAACTTGTCTTTTTTTTGAAAAATTATAGAATTTGAAATTAGTATTGAAAAATTACTGTTAAAATTTTACAATATTGAAAATGATTCTGATTTAACACATCAGATTACAAGCAATAGAATTTATTCTAATATTGTGATATAATATTTAATGAGTTTTAGATCTTTCTTGCACTTATGTTTGATTTTTATGAAAAGTACTCAAAATTCGATATTGAGTACTATCGATACTTTCGCCACGATATTTTTTTGGCATCGATATTTTGATTAGATACTTTTCAAAGTACTCAATATCGATCTTTTGCCTCGATACTTCTAACACTAGTATCAATTGCATTTTTGGCGCCACTATCTGCTGCCTCGTTACCGGCTAGGCTATCCCTACATGGCATTTCACCCGCATAAAATTTATTTCACAATTTTTTACTATTATCTTATATATAATTGAGAGAGTCTAATATAATCAGTGTCGGGTTATTTTCCAGCGATAACATGCCTTCTAGCGCCAATCTGCTATCACTGATTATGGCAGACTGGTTCAGGACATTTGTATCAATGAATTTTATGCATTTGTTTATGGCATACACTTCCGCTGTGTTTACTGATGCATCCTTGTCTAATTTATATATCATACTAGCAAGCCCGACGAACTCCGTTTCGCCACCAGATGGTTTCGTGAGAAAGATGAAGAATTTTTTTGTTTGTTTTATATTTGAAAAGGAAAAATTTGATTTTATTACACAACAGTAATGAATTGATTTCGATTACAAAAATGAAGTGTTTTTTAGTGAAACTTCTCTAAGTAAATGAAAGTGAATCCACAAATTATCCATTTCATTGAAGTGCTCTTTGGTAAACCGCATTTTTTGTTTTTTGGTCTGACATTAAAACAAACAAAGCAGATAATTTTCCAACTCGTGAACAGGCAACGTGTAACTGCCCATGTGAAAAACAATGATTTTCTAAATAATCTATTTGAAATTTATCCCGCAAACACTAAGCGATTGGCCATGCGACTTATTATTGCGAACGCAAGGTGAACTGGAAATTGCAATCGTTTGAAGTCAAACGGAAGACCAGTCGGAATCATTGGTATGTTACCAAATCGCCAGCAATTTTTGATTGAATGGTGAAATTCAGTGCGTGTACATCATTATTCTTTGCACCAAGAATTGCTCGTAGACTTAACCAAGCATAATTCTTATAATTCTCACTAATGTCATTACTCGAATTTTCAATTACGGTGCGTGAAGTCCCAGCAATTTGCATTAAGGCACGATGCCATGTATCATAATATTTGAGTGACGCGACAGATGGCGCACGAATTAATTTAATGTCACATTTTAGAAATAAATATATGAAACTTAGTACATATAAAAATCATTGTGCGCTCTATCTAAATGTTTATACAAAGAGCTAATACTATTAGAGAATCATTTTTTATTGATTTGGAAGCTTTTGCGCCCGTGGGAGCAAAGAAATTCGAAAATGTTCTTGTTAAGGACCACCCTAATATATATATTGTAGAGTTTCGAACAAGAATCCAAAAGTAATAAAAAACAAGAAAAGTTTTTTAAAAAACTTTTTCTTTATTTATTTATTTATTTACTGTCGACGTTTCGGAACTAGGTACGTTCCATCTTCAGGACATCTGTCAAGAAACATGATCTTGATGAGATTTAAGCAAACAATATGTTTAAAAAAAGAAAATGGATTTTTCTTAAATAATAAATTATTGCACAAAATAATAATGTACACAACTATGATAATATGATCAAAATGAAAATAATAAAATAAATGAGTGGATTATCTAACAGGATATTAAAAATGATAAAATTTTTTTTGAAAGTTATGGAAATTTTAAGAAAAGGTTAATGACAAAATTGAATTAATTACCTGTATGTTTGAATATACGTTAGCACTTTTTCACTAAACAAGATTTTAACAAAAAATGAATTTATGAGTTACTTTTCCGCCTAATAGGTAAATTTTGTAAATCAAAATTACTATAAGTTTTGTCTTTTTTAAAATTATTATTTGAAAACCCAAACAATATTATTCTCTCGATGTTATGAGATCGGCTATTGGAAACGAACTAACTAAATCTGAGTCATACGCAACACGTGTAAACCCTTGAGAACTACTGTGAGATTGTATGTGTGTGTTTTTATATGTTAGGATGTGAATACTTAAATTATTGATCTTAAATGGAAGTCGATATTAATTGTTTGTCAAAAAATGTAAAAAATTTAACACTATTCCTACCGGGACCGGTCAAATGACCGTTTTTGGTTTTTCGATTAGTATTTTTCATATCAAACGTAATTGAATCGTCATCAAACTTTATGACTTTTCCTAAAATGTGAGTATGATACATTTTTCAATGCTAATTTGTTTTTTCAATTTTTATTTTTGGAAAAAAAATTGTATACTGTCTTACCTACCGCGACCGGTCATTTGACCGGTAGTACGAAAGGTGATGTTCGGACGGCATTTTCTGTAGTAATTGTTAAGAATATGATCGAACTTACAAGAAAATGTAAATTCAGAAGAATTTAGAGTGGTAAAAGCTGCCTTCTGCAAATTTATATGCATTTTTTTCAATTCTGTATGCACGATGCGCATATGAGGCAAGGAGTATAAATATTGCACTTCTACGGTGTACAAAGTGGGTTTTCTGATTTTTGCTCAATGTCTATGTGTAGACAGATTTTTACGAAGGAATCCAAACAACAAATTGATAGGTTTTGTTTTGAACCCAAAGGTTGGTTCAACTACATTGACAGCAATCAAAATTGTTGTAAAAAGACCACGTATTACTATCGACAAACAAATATTTTCAATAAAGGTAAGGTGTAAATTTATTCAACACATGTTCAATAATATTCAGGAAAACGTAGTATACAATTTTAGTAACTGCTCAATATACGAAGTAAATATAATTATGCGCAGCAAATCGCACAAATGGGGTGTAAAATTTGGATATATACGTATTGACTACGTTTTGAGTATACGTAGAAAACTAAGAATTTCTTTGAAGATTTATAACCAATGAATCAGTATTATCAAAATCGCTAGTAAGATGTAAAAAATTTAAAAGTTTTCACCATCCTACTTATAGCTAAACTGTTAGTAAAAAAAAACTGTGATAGTAGGTACAATTGAAGCAATATAACAGCTACAAGTACTGGTATAACTAAAAATCAAGGACTTCACTCAAATAATATTTACAATTTTGGAAGCTAAAAAAGAAGGTTCTAATTTTCGCTTACATACACATATGTTGAAAAAATTACACTAATACGAGAGTCAATTCAATTGGTATTAGCATCGTGTTTGGTGTAGATGTCATTCATAAAACAGTCATAAATCATTCAGTAAAATATGACTTTTAGAGAGAATTTATCAAGGTTTTACATTATTTTGTATTTATTCACGATAAATTCATTGTTTTCACATAAAGAAATTATGGGAAGACGATGTACTAGGCAGGAACTTTCTATTCCAATTAACTTGCCGAATAGTTCCAACAAGAATTCAGAAAACAATCAACTAAGTACAAGTACAAAACAGATTCCCTAAAAGAAAATATTCCAGATAATGTTTTAGAAATATGATAAGGCGAACAAAATCAGCCAAAAACGTAAAAAATGAAGGTGCGAAAATACACTCTAAGAAAAAAATCGTAAAAAATTGGATAAAACAGAATAAAATGTAGATTTCGCATTCTAAAATAAAAGAAATATTTTGTATTTGTATTTATAAACTCTTAAACTAGCATTAACTCTTCATTCAATACTGAAAAATATAGATTTTGTATGACCGGTCATTTGACCGGTCGCGGTAGGAATAGTAAACATGAAATGTCGGTAGGAATAGTGTTAAATATGAATCATGTAATAGATTGTGATCTGATCTAATGTTGACACTATTAGAAACATTCATAAGAATAAGGCAACTTTCCGCAAATAATCTCCTAAACATGCAACTTTCATGATATAAGATCTTTGGAGTAAAATTAAACGATTAAACGAATTAAACGAACGTTTTCAATAGAGTGCTGTACTAGGGTACTTTTGAATTTTTTTGTTTATGGTGGACCACACTTAGTTCATGTTTTCTCATTCTTTTGAGTACATATTGCGAGGTTTGTCCAATATATTGGAAAGCACAATCAGTACAAGAATTAAAAAAACAGAATATACTACGTTAGTATTGAAATTGGATGAGGTAGGGGATTTAATGTTCGTAAAAAAAATTTCTAATGATCATTTTTGACTGCCAAATGGCATTTTTTTTTACTTTTTTCATTAGATCTCCGAAACCGCTAGACCTGCCTTCATGAAAACTTGATCAGTTGTTCATCTTATTAATACAAGTAAAATGTTTTTTGAATTATTTAAATCGGACGCTCAGTTCTCTTAAAAACTGAGTTACCGTTTTTGGCACTTTTTGCCCCATTACTTCGGAACGGCTAGACCTGCCTTCTCCAAAAACTAATCACCACGTTTCCTTATCAATACGAGCGAATGTTTTTTGAATTATTCAAATCGCTTTATCAGTGTTCCCGAAATCGTCGACGAAAATTTCTATCCGCACACACATACATACACGCACGCACGCACACACACACACACACACACATCCATTTTTTTCTAAGGTATGCCAAAATGTTCAGAAGGTTTTCAAACGTAAAGATATATGAATATTTTCATTTTCGATTTTTTTGCGATTACTATAACTTGCCCTACGGAAAGTTAAAAAATTTAAGCTGATTTGTATGAAACTTTTGGCGATATATATCATGGTCTTATAGAACTTACTAAGATATTATGGCCTTACGACAAATAGTTTAATATTAAAAATTCATCAAAGTTTGAAAAAATGAGTATTCGACAAATAGTTTGATGTTTGTTAAAATTAAAATTGGATGATTTACTTGGTATAATGATAAAGTACTTGGTCCTAATGAACATACTACACCATTGAAGTCCCGCGGAAACTGGTTCAATTATAATTTTTTTTTAAATTTTGCTTTTAAAAAATACTCCAAGTTAACGTGTTCGTTCGTGATCAATTATGTGTAATAGATCCACTCGGAATACTTTTAATCACTCATAAATTAATTTATTTTTCATTGATTAAGCCAATTATTTACACATATCGGGAAGTTCATGCAACTTGCCTCAAGGCAAAATACCAATACCAACTAGTTGAATACTGTCATAACAGACAGAAGAATCTGATGATGGAATGTACTCAGTTCCGAAACGTAGTAATTAAACATTTACAAAAAAACTTATTTATTGGATTAATTGTTCGGAGAAGAAACCCTTATCAATTTATTAAAATATCCAGGTGATATCGATTTATTAAATTTTGAATTCATCATTTATTGAATGTAATTCCAAAATAATATTTAGGTTTCATTAAATTTCGATTCATATAGGTGTATCACCAATAAAAGGAAAGCAAACCTCATCTTCCTCTTGATCTGGAGTGAGAATAGTATCTTCAGCTTCAGCTTCCCATGAATCGGCAGTTGGTGTTCCTGCACCACCAGAACCAGTAGGTGTAATTAATGCTGGACTATAAGATTCACTGACCGTTTCTAAGGATGGTGGGACTGGAGGAGGCTCTTCAATACGTGGGCATGCTTCCGTCTCGGAGGTGCCACCTATATAAGCACTCAATTAATATGCATCCAAGAAATTTATTACAACGGCGTAATATTTCAATTACCAACAACAAAAGTACATGAAAGAGTTATTTTGCAAAAATGCCCAAGATTGGAAACCAAATTCAATAGTTTTAGTTTTTAATTTTATTTTTAGTTTCCACTGAATGAAGATTATAGCCGAAACGTATGGATGTAAAATAAATTGAAAGAAATTTGTTTATGCCTGATTAGTAGACTTAATACATATGTCAATATTAATTCAAAATCATATATTATATATATACATTTATGCTTCAATATATATATATATATATATATATATATATATTGATGAGTTATTTAGAATCGGGCAGTAACACCAAGTAGAGAAAAAAAACTAAAGTAGTTTTTAAATTTATCCATACGTTTCGGTCTTCATCGAGACCGTCATTCAGTGGAAAAAGAATTAATTATACAAAAATACACTACACTATTACACTGTGATAACCAGGCTATTAATAATTGGAACATTTAAACTAATTAATTTTTTAGACAATTTTTGCTTACATTCTAGTGTGTACAAATTGACTAACGTCTAAAAACTGAATTCAGTATTCAGTAAATTGACTAACGTCTAAAAACTGAATTCAGTATTCAGCTTTTAGACGTTAGTCAATTTGTACACACTAGAATGTAAGCAAAAATTGTCTAAAAAATTAATTAGTTTAAATGTTCCAATTATTAATAGCCTGGTTATCACAGTGTAATAGTGTAGTGTATTTTTGTATAATTAATTCTTTTTCCACTGAATGACGGTCTCGATGAAGACCGAAACGTATGGATAAATAAAGTATTTAAAAACTACTTTAGTTTTTTTTTCTCTACTTGGTGTTACTGCCCGATTCTAAATAACTCATCAAAATATATATCAACACCAAACTCACATATTTCAATATATATATATATATATATATATATATATATATATATATATATATATATGTAAATTTGCTGTTGATATATTTTTAGTATAAAAAATAAATAACTAATTCGGAATGTAAACATATGTTGCCTATAAATGAAAGGAACAGCTAACACAAATTACAACAAATTACATTGATAATTTACCCACTGCAACATTGATTTTTGAATTATGATGTGCTATGCTTAGTGAATTGAGTGAGATTTTAAAAACTCTAAATAAATTCCAACATTTTTTGCTAGAATTGCTCCTTGTACATCCTTGTAATAGGCCTGCAAATTAGTAATTATGCGAGAATCGATCGATAATTTGGTGCATCTAGTTTTATCGGAGGTAACCATTTCGTCGTCAATATCTAAGAATTGTTGCAGCGGGTCGAACGGATATATTTAAGATTTTCTGTAAGCTCAGAAAAATCTTGATCGAAATTTAATGAAAAACGTTCATAAAAAGAACAATAAATGATTGATGGAACGTTGTCATATATAGATCCATATATTCTTCTTTTACCTATGCCATTATTGTCCTATAAAAATATGACTTAGCTACTAAAATGACTATTATGAAATAGGAGTGTGAAAATTTAGAGTTGCATGTAGTTTTCAATTCCACATTAAAAAAAAACTAGTGGTGTATGGCATCGTGCCTTGAGGCAAATTGCTGAAACTTCCCGTACCGTATTAAAATATCCCGTACTTCCTGTATTAAAATATTGAAAAACTGAATTATTTTCGATATTAAAGAAAATTGAAAATTAAAAAAAAAAATTGAAAAAAATAATCGTTTCGTCAGCACAAGCAGTTTTTTGAATCATTCAAATCTCAAATTAAAATTGTAATTTGCACAATTAGCGGATGCTCATTAACTTCCTGTTAGGTAAGTTATTGTAATCGTCCAAAAATCGAAATTGAAAATTTTTACATTTCTTTACATTTTGAAGGTTTCTTAACATTTTGGCATACGTCAGAAAAAAATGGATGTTTGTGTGTGTATGTATGTATGAATACAATTTTTCGTCCTCGTTTTCGGGCTCGGATCAACCGATTTGAATGGTTCAAAAAACATTCGATTCCTCTTGATAGGAGGATGTGCTGATTAGTTTTTGGCAAAAGCAGGTCTAGCGGTTTCGGATATACAGAGCAAAACGTGCAAAATGTGCTTTTGGGGTAAAAAAATTGTTTCATTTTTTTTTTAATTCTGACTTAAGTTCTATTATACTTTAAACAAATAATTTCAACTTCGCAATTCAGTTTATATAATTCTTATAAATATTAGACAATATTACAATATTTATATTAATCGATTTGAAAACATTTAATATTTCTCGAACATTTCGTTACGGTACGGGAAGTTCCAGCAATTTGCCTTAATGCACGATGCCATACACCACTAGTTTTCTGCTCTCTTTGCTCCGTAACTCCAAAACAGCTAGACCGACCTTGGCCAAAAACTAATCCACACCTCTCCGAGGAATCCAATGTTTTTTGAACCATTGAAATGTGTTGATTCTTGCGCCCAAAAACGTGGACAAAAATTGTATTCATACATGCATACACACACAAATGTTCAGAAACCTTCAAAACGTTAACATATGCAAAAAAATTTAAATTCGATTTTTGGACGATCACATTAAGTTACCTACCTAATACGAAAAGTTTATAAAATAAAGAATAACTAGTTGTGCATGGCATCGTGCCTTAAGGCAAATTGCTGGAACTTTCCGTACCGTAACGAAATGTTCGAGGAATATTAAATGTTTTCAAATAAATTATTATAAATTAATACTGTAACATTGTCTAATATTTATAAGAATTTATTTATTTAGAGTACATAAGTGAGCTTTAGAATTTTAGCAAGAATTAAAATTAAAATCTGAATTATTTTCGGTATACAAATTTTTTTTTTTTTTTTAAATATTTTTCTCCAAAAGTAATTGTTTCGTCAATACAAGCAGAAAGTTTTTTGAATCATTCAAATCGGATGCTTAGTTCTATCAAAAACTGCCATTTTTTGCACAATTAGCTCTGTATCTCCAATACGGCTGGACCTGCCTTTGCCAATAACTAAACACACCTTCTACCAATCATTACAAATTGAATGTTTTTTGAATCATTCAAATCAGATACTCCGTCGTTCTCTCAAAACGTCGATTCATATTTTCTGCACTCTTTGATCCGTATCTCCGTAACAGCTGGACCTGCCATTACCAAAAACTTATCAGCACGTCTCCTTTTCAATACTAATCGAATGTTTTTTAAATTATTCAAATCAGTTGATTCGTGTTCCCGAAATCGGTGACGAAAATTTATATCCGCACGCACACACACACACACACGCACACAACCATTTTTTCTAAGGTATGGCTAATGTTAGGAAGGTTTTGAAACGTAAAGATATATAAAAATTATCATTTTCGATATTTTTGCGATTACTATAACTTACTCTACGGGAAGTTAATAAATTGTTTTTTAATAATTAATTATTAATTAAGCTTTTTCATAAAGGCAAACAATTGATCTAAAATTATGTCAAAAACATTCATTGACTGAGCGCGGAAATAATGTTATTACAACAAAATTGAAACAAGAAAACCAAAAATATAAAATTTAAAAAAGTATATATTTATATAATTACAAGTGTATGATATAAATATTGATTGAAAATGACATCAAATAATAGTTGAACAAAACTAATTTACTTGATAACTTTAATTAGAAATTTGCCGTTGCATTTTCTTTGGTGGAGCAAAATATTGAGAAACATTTAAAAACTGAAATCTGGAAATTTTCTGAATTAAATAATTATTTTCCGGCAACTTTCCTTTTGTGGATTTGTTTAATTGTTTGCACACGTACGTATTCCAAAAAAAGACAATTTTCTTTGTGTATTTTTTATTCAAAAGCGGAAATTTCTCAGGATTGACATGAGTTACAAAATATTTCAATGTTTACTGAAAAAAATACGTTTCTTAATCTGTATTATTTTGCATACTGATCACTTCCCTATGATGTTTTCATAAGGTGTAAGGTGTACCTACATAGATGTTAAATAGAAGAAGAAAACATTTCCATGAAAACATCTGTCCTCTTAGCTTTAAACATTTAGAATCAAGATTGAAAATTGTTCACATTCTCTTTTTCTAAATTTGGGAAGTGAAACAAGATAGGTAAAAGATATTTTCCACAATTTTAATTTGCACTCAAAGCATTGAATTTTATCATACAAATTGTAAATAAAATATCTTCCTTGAAGTTCCACATTGAGATTGAGATTGTGAGTGATTTTGATAAGAAATTTAAAATTGCAAGCCATTCATTATTACCTTAGAATTATTAATACATTAGAAAGGTATACTCCTTCATATTCAAGAACAATTGTATTTGATATTTGGATCATATAACCTTTAAGCATTGCACCTCTATTGAGCTAATGTAATTTGGTATTGAAAATCATATCGCCATATTCATGCTCTAAATTGTTCAGGAATTATTTAAATTACGGTGATTTAACCCATTTTAAATTTGGAAATGCATTGTAGCTATGTTCTCATTTCTTGTCATAATAGACAAGTCATCTATTATTCTTGCAATATTGAAGCTTGTCAAACTAATATTTAAAATAATATTTATTTTATAAGGATATACAAACAATTGTTTTACCAGTATTTGACTGAGAACAAAATTAGTTTTTACTGCCGTATTCGATAAAATATATAGAAAAATTAATCTGCAGTAGAGAAATGCTTGGCAAAACGCAAAAAACATACGGCGGGCGGCAGGTTTGCTCATCAATTATGTTGCATTAGACCGATACATTAATTTCACGTAACTATAATAAATCAAATATTTAAATTAATAAAACTAGTATGTTATTAAAGGCCATGCCATACAATTTTATACAATGTAACAAATTTATATCACACTTTTCAAGTATAATCAAATTAATGTAGCTTTTTGCTCTTACGTTATAATAAAAAAAACTATAAACTTATTCTTAAATGAACAAACTAATGTTATTGCAGCTTCATAATATATTAAAAAAAATTTATCTAATATTATTAAGCCAAAATAGAAAGAACTTAATATATAGTGGTTGTGTGTTCTAGAATATAACAGTGAATACAAAACAAAAAACAAGGAATTATTTGTCCTCATAAATTGTTATGATTTTATGCAATTAAGAAAAATCGCAGTAAAAATGTCGCATATTTCCGGATGTGAAAGAACTTAATATATCAGTGGTTGAGTGCTCTAGATATATTATATATCTAACATTCAATATGAAATAAATATAAGGAACTATTTGCCATTCATACGATTTGATGCATTTAAGAAAAATCGCATATTTCCAGATGTCTTTCCAGATATGTGTTACATACATTGCGATTTTGATGGATCACCATGTGTACTTGTAATCAGAATATAAAAATATGTTAATAATAATACTGTTTGTCGTAAGTATCTCAGACAGTTAACCTAAATATAATGAATTGTTTAGCATATTTCTTGTCAAACTAGAATATTACATTTACCATTCAGTAGCATCGAGGATGAGTTATCTTCAAACTTGATTGTAATGATTTAATAGAAGTTACAACATCACTGTTTGTGAGGGCAGGACAGAAAAGAAGGCACGAACTCCATTGCATTTACGTTCAACGTGGAAAATTTCGCCGACAAATCATTGTTGGGGTCTTGCGGGCTACTTTGATCGCCAGACCCAATATCTGCTTGCATTTCCCAACATTCTGGTGCACCATTATTTGACATTTTATGTACACTAAATTATTATCACTGCTGCGCTTATGTTAATACTCATGTAATATTTTCTGTCTTCTATATTGCATTACATATCCGCGTGCGCTGTGTTATTTCGGCGAGAGTTGCAGGCGGAAGTTAGTCACACAATTTATATGCATAGGCGCTTGCACACATGATTTTTGTACAGGACGGCAAACACAAAACCATAGTTCATCATAAATTGAAAGAGTCGCAAAGAAATTTCTATGCATAAGTACATGATGATAAGTACTTGAATAACATAATTTTTTAACGTTTTCAAGAATTTAACTTTTTGCCAAAAAATGTGCTACGTTAATTTGATACTTTTTCGACTTTGAGTTCAAGAAAAAGTATGTGTGTACGTGAAAACCAATGCGGTTTGCATTGGCATTTACTCGATTTAGGTATATCCATTTGAAATTTTAAAACCCTCTGGTGCAGATAGTCATTACCATGGAGATTATTATATTGAAACTTTGATTATAGATGGCTCATAGATAAACAAGTATAAATAGATTGCTATGCCTGGCAATTTGACGTATCTTAATTGAAATGCGCAACTTTGATTATAGATGGCAGCGATGTACATTTTGTAAATTAACCCCTTGTTATTACTCTTACATTTGTGCATATAACAATACAGCCAAACACTGAAAAAAATTAATATAGAATTAAGAACGAAACATACAAAAACGAAAATATGTTTTCAAATATATCACGGACATATTTTTGAAGAATTGTAAACTATACAGAGAGAAACTGATTAATATTAACTAAAATATATTACAGAAATATTTTACAAATTAAGGAGGAAAACTTGTTAATATAATTACTTAATGACTAATAATAATATATTGAAAACTAAAAAAACTAAGAAGAGAAAAGCACAGGATCGAGTATTGACAATGGAATGACAAATTTAGGAATGACAAAGAATGCATAATTTAAAAGAATATATTGATATCAAAAGAAGAAAAAACTAAATTCCTAGGACTAAAATGCATGCATTTAAGAGATATTCTTCTTTATTATCTCTGCATTTAATAGTTATATTTTAATATCAAATCAATCAATCAACTAGTTGTGTATGGCATCGTACCTAAGGGTAACAAAATGTTTGAAAAAATATTAAATGTTTTCAATAGATTATTATAAATACTGTAACATTATCAATATTTTTAAAAGTTAAAAATTAATTATTTAAAGTTATGAGTGAGTTTTAGAACTTTAGCCAGAATTAAATAAATGACAAAAATTGAAATATTAGTTTGCCAAAAGCAATTATTTTGTCAAAAAAGCTGAGAGTTTTTTGAATCATTCAAATCGGATGCTTAGTTCTCTCAAAAACTGCTATTTTTTGCACATTTAGCTCGGTATCTCCAAAACGGCT